CTTCGGCTTCGTCAAATCGGCCGAGCCTGATCCCCACCATCTTCGGAATCGTACGATACCCCTAAATGTCGCCTCCAACCAGAAAGTAAACCGAACGCACAGACCTCCGAACTTCCGCGTCCCACACCAAACGGCTCGCCTAGGAACTAAAACGCCAGCCGAGCCTGGCGATCCGGACGTACACCCTTTGCCTCGACAATCGTAAGTTTTTTGGCCAGTTTATTGCGAACTCGGAACTCGCAATGTTCGGAGCTTCGCACAATGCCGAGGGGACCTGAACAAATTTGTTCATCCTAAGTTTGCTTCCCGCAAATAGGGCCTAAGCAACAACCTGTGTCAGCGGTCTTTATGCTCCCTCCTAATCGCCTTGAGGAGCCACGGCTCAAGTGGAAAGCAAACCAGAATCCACACACACACTCGTTTTTCACGTTCGAGGCTTTAAGTATACGCTCTGCTGTGCGTTGTCGGTGTATTATTTAGGCGTCTAAAAATTGGTCGCTGTGCTTCGCTGTCGGTTCTACCAGGTTCAGTCGTCGTGATGGGTGCCAATTTCAACATGTCACGCCAATTCCGCATGTCGCGCGCCCGTTTTGCCATGTCACGCGCCGCCATTTCGATACGTCGCGTCGCCATTCCACCATTGCTCGCCGCCATTTCGCCACGTCACGCAGCAGTAGGATTCGTGCAGGCAACGGTAAGTCGCACTTGCGCCGCTTGCATTTCTCGAGAATGCGCTACCTGCATGCTCTTCCCTCTTCTGCCTGGAAGTAAGAGCGGTGTTACTACCATAACGGGTCGCGCGCTCGTCTAGTGCTACGGCGCGCTGACTGGGAGCCGTGGCTTGCCACGGTCAGGTGGCTGTCGGCTCCTTGAGTCACCGAGAGCTGATGGCGTGGCATATGCCGGGGCCAAACCCGTGGTTTAGTTTGGCGCTTGACGCAAAGGAGATGACCGTAGCGCAGCTCGTCCGCGTGCTCGCCCCGTCCTGCCGTGGCGCCACTCGGAACGGCGAGCACGCAGCGGCGTTTCACGCGTACCTTAGTAGGATTGGCGTCATTGTAGCGGCGGCGGCGGGCTTTCCCAGTGGCATGACAGCGAGCACGAGAGAGCTCATTCCCCCACGCAGAGCGCACTGCGGACCTGGCGGCGGCACACGATGCCTAGGGGGGCTGCGTCGGTGGGGAAGCTAAGTGCCGTGAAGCCGCCCCTACGGACGTGCCGCGTATGTGCGTGTGCCTCGTCACTTGGGGAGCGCATCGTTGCTTTGTGCATCGTCGCTCAGTGCATCGTCACACTGTGTATCGTTGCTCAGTGCATCGTCACACTGTGTATCGTTGCTCAGTGCATCGTCACACTGTGTATCGTTGCTCAGTGCATCGTCACACTGTGTATCGTTGCTCAGTGCATCGTCACACTGTGTATCGTTGCTCAGTGCATCGTCACACTGTGTATCGTTGCTCAGTGCATCGTCACACTGTGTATCGTTGCTCAGTGCATCGTCACACTGTGTATCGTTGCTCAGTGCATCGTCACACTGTGTATCATTGCTCAGTGCATCGTCACACTGTGTATCGTTGCTCAGTGCATCGTCACACTGTGTATCATTGCTCAGTGCATCGTCACACTGTGTATCGTTGCTCAGTGCATCGTCACACTGTGTATCGTTGCTCAGTGCATCGTCACACTGTGTATCGTTGCTCAGTGCATCGTCACACTGTGTATCGTTGCTCAGTGCATCGTCACACTGTGTATCGTTGCTCAGTGCATCGTCACACTGTGTATCGTTGCTCAGTGCATCGTCACACTGTGTATCGTTGCTCAGTGCATCGTCACACTGTGTATCGTCTCGCAGTGTATCATCGCGCAGAGCGACTGAGTCAGCCCCATATGCACACCCCCCAACACTCGAACTATCCTTGTCGTTGAATACAAGTGGTACAGCAAAGTCAAGCGTAAAGAACTAAGGTAAGATTTCATCAGCCAACCTAAGCAAGGAAAAGCCCTGACAGGTATATGCCACGAGGGGGTGCATATGAGGGAAGGAAATGAAAAGGAGGGTGGAGGGTTGGGGTGGGGGGGGGGGGGGGAGGAGGGGGAAGATGGGGGTATAGTCATGGGGAGTGGGTTTGCTCTCCCTCTCCTGCATCCCGTCCCTCTCCTTCTTGCCTCGCTTCTGCCTTCCCTCCCCTCTCCCGGTTTCATTCCCTCCACTCCCCCTTCCCTTTCGTCCCCCCTGCCGTTCTTACCAAACGCAGACCCATCTCCTGCTCCCACTTCTCCCACTGCTGCTGCTCACTTGCTTCTGCCAGCTGCACGCTGGTGGTGGCGCGGCAAATACAGGCAGCAGACTGTGAGTGTGCCCGGGCGGGCGGGCGGGCATAAAGCGGCGGTATGGGGAGGTGACATGCAGGGGTGATGCGCGGTGATGCGAGATTGTCCAATGCCACTGTGACTCTCTCTCACCACGTTCCGCAGAAGCGCTCTAGCCGCTGCGCATGTCCTGCAACGATCAAATCGCTCTCCTCCTGACGCACAGCTCACCTCAACTTCCTCGTTCCAACTCTCCTTGCCCCCCTTTGCCTCTCCATGCCACCCCTTCCTATGCTACTACCCTGTTATCACCCCGCCTTCCCTCCTTTCCCTCCCTTTCCTCCTTCCACTCCCTCTCTCATCCCCTCCTCCCAACACCCTCACTCATCTGTCGCACAACCCTCTTCCGGTCCCTGCGTGCCCCCCATGCCCCTGCCCCGCGTTGCTTCCCTCCCCCACACTCCACCCGTGCCCGCTGACCTTCCGTGAGCCCGCGGCTGCACCCCCTGGCGTCCACCCTCTCCCTGCCTTCGCTGGCAGTCAAGCTGTTTTGCACGTGCTGGCAGTGTGGGGGCAGCTTCGGGCGGCTGGCAGGCGTGGTCGGCCAGCAGCGACTGCTCCACCGTGCAGGGCGTCGCATGCGACGCTCGCAGGCAACGTCGCTCACCTGGTAAGTGAGGCATGTGAGTGCTGCTCCAGCGCATGTGAGTGCTGCTTCCAGCGCATGTGAGTGCTGCTCCAGCGCATGTGAGTGCTGCTTCCAGCGCAATGTGAGTGCTGCTCTAGCGCATGTGAGTGCTGCTCCAGCGCATGTGAGTGCTGCTCCAACGCATGTGAGTGCTGCTCCAGCGCATGTGGGTGCTGCTCCAGCGCATGTGGGTGCTGCTCCAGCGCATGTGAGTGCTGCTCCAGCGCATGTGAGTGCTGCTCCAGCGCATGTGAGTGCTGCTCCAGCGCATGCGAGTGCTGCTCCAGCGCATGTGGGTGCTTCAGAGTACTCTCGGGCCCGCTTGCCAGGGGCGTGCCAGCAACGTGTGCAGGTACTGGCTATGGCCCCGGGGGTGCGTTCGGGTGGGCGGCTCTACTGAGAGTGAGAAGTGCTGAACAAATAAGAGGGAAGATTGTGACTAGGGCGGATGAAAAAGCAACGCGGAATGCTGTCTTGTCATGTGGGCGTGTGTGCAGTGCGGCAGATGGGACGCACCATCAACGTCCCAGGCATCCCTCTCCTCACCTCAGTACATTGCCCCATCTGTAGTCCGTCCACGTCTCCCCTCCCTCTCCCTCTCCTAATTGTTCATTTTCCTTGCCCCAACCTTATACGTCCAACCCCATCCAACCCCATTTCGTGTATCCCGTCCATCCCCATGTTTCTCCATGTGTGCGCCACGCATGCAGCAAGCCGAGAGTGAATCATCTGAACATCTCCAAATGACATGAGGCAACCTCCTTCAGTGTCACCTACCTGTCAGTACCACCCTTACCCCCTCCTACCTAATCCATCCCACAACTACTTGGCTCTGTCCCTGTTTCATTGCATGAGTTTTGTGTCACATGCCAGGTAGTCCCATGCTCTCTCCCTTTCTCGGATCCCTTCTTGACCATCTGTCCTCTGGAGGAACCGGCTGAGTTGATCAGCTTGTTGACCAACCTGATTTGAGTGATCTGCGCAGAACTGGCTGAGTTGATCCGTGCCTGAGTCCCTTATCTGTCGCACCTCAACCAACTCGCCACACTGTAATATATCCACTGCACTGAGAGATCTGGGCAGGCTCAATTGCTGAGGGGTGTCACTGGGTCGAAGAGGGTAGAGGGTTAGTGGTTGCGGGTGTACTGGCATGGGGCCACTGCGTGTGCAGAGTGAAAGAGTCTCAAGTTATGATTGTGATAAATGAGAGATAGGCTGACATAGGAAAGGAAACGGTGGGCAGATTGGATGAGTGCCCACACCATCATTGGTGGGTCAATTAGGTTGACCACGCAATGATGGCCAACATTATTGGGGGATGGGGGGGGGGAAGGGGGGGCAATAATTGATTGGATGGCCCAGTCATTATTTGGGATCCCCCAACAAATACGGTCCAAAAATGTTGGGAAGCACTCAACCAAAATCGGTTGGGGCTACTTGAGCCAAAGTGTACCACATTGGGTGTATCACTTACAGTAGTATTGACTAGCATATGCAACATTCTAACAGATAGATATTGAAAGACGAATGGGAGCGGGATTGCTGTGGTGCAGCGCGGACTATGTACAGGGCGTTGTGTGCATGCATGCATTCTTGTGCGTTAGCACTCAGCACTGCACCATGCAAGAATATTGGGCTCTGCTTTTACCAAGGCTATCCCATGCATGTCTATCTCGTTGTCCGTAGCACTCAGTGGGGCACATAACGCATCGCCAGTGGTCCATTCCATTCCCTGTAACCATGTGCAGGAGCCTTTCGGTCAACGGGTTCACTGTGGACAGCAGTCTGCCCTCAGCACCATCTCCACCCTCGATATCATGTCAGCCACCCCATTGCCTCGCCCACCCTGCTGTTGCATCTGCACGTGTTATTTGTTCACTCATAGCGCCATGCGGCTCTCCTTTTGCCATGCCCTGCTCTGACTGTCCTCCTCGCCTTGCTGCATGCAAGGCAGTGAAGCTCCGCTCCTGTCAAGATAACGATGTTGCAATGCCCCCTTGAGTCTGATAAAGTGATGCTGCAGCCCTCAACAATATTACTTACGCGCCTAGGCCATGTGGATGTTTCTCGAGCTCTTGAAAGAAGTCAGATTGATTAAAATGGATCAATGCAACTGCCTCTGTTCCCCTGCTCTGCCTTAGAGTCGACTACAAGCTCTGTGCTTTTTAGCCGACTGAAAAGAAGCTGTCTCCATCCTGTGCTCTGCCGTGCAGCGACCTGCACAATAACAACTTCCCTGGCGCCATTCCTGATTAGAACTCCACCCTACCCACACTGATGAGCATGTATGCATACATCATGAGCATGCATGCAGTCATCATGAGCATGTATGCAGTTACCATGAGCATGCATCCAGCCATCATGAGCATGTATGCAGACATCATGAGCATGTATGCAGTTACCATGAGCATGCATCCAGCCATCACGAGCATGTACGCAGTCATCATGAGCATGTATGCAGTCATCACGAGCATGTATGAAGTCATCATGAGCATGTATGCAGTCATCATGAGCATGTATGCAGTCATCATGAGCATGTATGCAGTCATCATGAGCATGTCTGCAGTCATCATGAGGATGTACGCAGTCATCATGAGCATGTATGCTGTCATCATGAGGATGTATGCAGTCATCATGAGCATGCATCCAGCCATCACGAGCATGTATGCAGTCATCATGAGCATGTATGCAGTCATCATGAGCATGCATCCAGCCATCATGAGCATGCATGCAGTCATCATGAGCATGTATGCAGTCATCATGAGCATGCATGCAGTCATCATGAGCATGTATGCAGTCATCATGAGGATGTATGCAGTCATCATGAGCATGTATGCAGTCACCATGAGTACGGTATGTACGCCGTTCATTCTGTCACTGCATGGGGCCAAGAATCTGCTCGTGGAACTGTGACTCACAAGTTGTGAGAGCGCGTGCGGTGTTCTTTTCAATCTCTGGGCTAATCACCGCTCCACCGAAAATTCCTCTTTCCCTACCGTACTCCAGCCTTAGTAATGTCTTGAATAGACGCTTGACACCAATCATTATAGCTTTAGGGCTCAACATACAATCATAGACACTTTTTTATGCTTGTGAGCGATTCATTGTGTGCACAGGGTACAGCCGAAACATAGTGTATGGATCCAGAACGAGATTTTAGTCTACAGACCTCCACTCCCCCGTTTTGGCCCCTGCTTCATAAGGACACTGCCCTAAGGACAGAGGCAGTGGTTTATGATAATGGATTTCGCCGAAACCCACTATCTGGTAGCTCTCTCATTTGTCCGCTCTGATGTTTGTAGCACTCGTGCTACTTGTCAGGCCTATCACATCACGATAGGAGACACGTGTAGCATGCTGAAATCATGCTCTCCTTTCTTATCCCCAACCTAGTGTTTAATCAAGCCATGTATTTACAGGGAGCTGGCACGGTCAAACATTGGTGGAACCTAGCCCCTCTATTGGAACCCTGAGTCACCTTGACATCTCGCCAACCATAACCCATCCCTGTAGCTTCTCTCTTGGTGTTTGCCTTGCTTGCCTGGTGTGTTGCTGGTGCAACCTCCTGTGCATGTATGATTCTGAGTCTCCTTGGATTTGCATCAGTCTATGTCAGTAGCTATGAGGACAAGAGTCATCAGAAAGGTACTGAGACATTGCGTGTTAATGACATATATGCAGACTGCAATAGAATGCGCTCTCTCTCGTTCACTCAAGGACTCCCTTATCGTTCCATCATCATAGTCTGTGATGTATCACGTGTGCACACGACGTCTTCCACGCTGTGGGTTCAGGTAGCGGGAGGGTTTGGGGCTCAGGGGCACGGTCCCCAGATCATTCTCCTTCAGAACTTGGGCTTTTTGTGTGTGCACCCTGGCTGCTTGCTGTTGTATCCAGTGTCCCTTGGCGTCTGGTCCAATCACACTTATCCAAGTTACCATCCTTGACATGTAGTTGAAATCATGCTTGAATGCAACGCAACTGCATGCAACAACAGCACTCCATGCTACCTCTGCTGAGGGCCTTAGGAAGCGCACTCAACCCTGCTAGATGGGACTCCAAGTGCTGCCATGCCATGCACGCCGCGTTCACGAGTTGTCTTCGGATGTGCTTTCTTCCAGCTACCTGAACAGGAACGTCCTCTCTGGCGATGTGTACGGCATCACACGCAATATGACCAGCCTTGTCACGCTGCACGTGCATGGGGGGAATCGCATATGGCATGCACCATGTGCTATTTGCCATGTCCCAGGTCCCATGTGCCAATGGGCCATGTGCCATTTGTTACTTGCCTTGGTGTGTTGAGGGGGTCCTGAAAGAGCCCATTCTAAGAGAGCATTGGATTGGGAAGGAGGACTACAGATAGGACTGAAAGTGCTTGTTACACCAAGCCCCTTCCTTTGGTCCAATGGTTTATCTGTATGTTCAAGGCTCATCTGCAACAGAACACTGCATCTTTCCTCTGCACCACCCTGTGCGTGTTCACTTCTCACCCACTCTTGTCACACCCCCGCTCATGCGCCATTTTCCCACCCACTCCTCGCCTTGGCTCTCCCTGCCCTCGCCCCCCCTTCTTTACAGTGACATGTCAGCCAACCAGTGACAGGGTGACTGCCATTGCCCCTGTCGCCCTACCTGCAGCCAACCAGTTCCCGCCCTACCTACCCTACACCCACCGCAACTTCTTCTTCCACGGGACCATCATCCCGCCCGAGGCCAACCACACCTACCTTGGCAACGCCTTTGAGCATTGTCTGCTCAACGCATCCCGGGCGCCTGGAGACTACTTGGAGCAGAGGAGTGCAGAGGAGTGTGGTGCGTTCTGTGGGGTTGCTGCTGGGGATTGCCAACCCCTGTGCAGCGGGCATGGCATGTGCTCCTTCAGTGAGTCTGTGCAGGAATCAGTATGCACCTGCGATAGCAACTTCGACAACCAGGCCGGACTGCCCTCGTGCTCCTACAGTGGTGTGTATACACAAGTTTTGGGAGAGACTGAGTGATCTGGTGTAAGAAGCAGATGACACTCTCTTGTTGTGCCCTTTGATTGCGTTGCATACCCTGCTCATTCCTCGTAATTGTTACCATTACAGCTGCATCGCAATTGAAACCTCTCGAACTCCTGGTGTTGATTTATTTACATCCAAGCATATTTCTTCCGTTCCGTTTGCACCCATCTGCCTTGCCTCACTCTGGATAACCCTGCAATTCTCCCTTCAACCAAATCATCACAGACAACAGCAGTCTCCCTGGCAGGTGCAGCAGCGCAACCATTCAATGGCACCATCATCCTCACGCCCCCCACCAGCAACACGTCAGGAGCAGCACAGTGCAGCGCCCATCTGCCTCTTCCTTTTGATTGACAACCCTGGCCCGTGTAGCACGCCCTTTGTGTTCAATGCCTTCTTTAGCTTCGCCAGTCAAGTACATGGGGGGAGAAGGTTTTGTGTCAGTCGTAGGTCACTTTCAGGTCACACTCAGATCGCTCTAGAAACTCTCATAATGAGAGTCTCATATCACTTTCAGGCCACTCTCAGGTCACTCTCAGGTCACTCTCAGGTCAAACTCAGGTCAAACTCAGGTCAATTTCAGGTCAGTCTCGTATCAGTTTCAGGTTGGCCTTAGGTCAAATAAGGTCAAATCAGGTCAGTCTAAGGTCAAACACAGGTCAGTCTTTTGGTCAGTTTCTGGTCAGTCTCATGTCAGCCTCATGTCAGTCTGAGGCCAGTCGTGGGTGCAGGTATGATGCAGGGCCATGCCTTCCACAAACACGAGATACCCACAATCTCCCACACTACCCTTAGTCCTCCCCCACCCTACCGTCAGCAACCAACTGACCTACGTACCATTGGCGCTTTAGCCCCAACAAGCCATATTTAGCAGCCACAAGGCCAAGATTGGCACCCAGAACAATGAGCAGGGGACTCTCGATGCTGAACTGGCTCTCATGAGAGGTTAGGTACATTATTAGAAAGTGTGCCCTACTTCTTAGCATTCAGATTCCTCACCTCCCTGCCTTTTTTCCTGCCATGATAAACGTACGTTCATGATTTCTTGGCGGTTGAAGGCTGAGTTTGTAGTCAAGCTGCAAGGATACATTATGGTTCAAACTACAAATTGTATCAATAAAGATTTTATTAACCTTGGACTGTGCATGCTCCATCCATTCCACAACACAGTAACTTGCACTGTTCCAGATTAAAATGGTTCACAACCATCTGCAGTGCCTTGTTTGAATGATGTGTTTTCATCTAGAATAGAGAGTAATTAATCAGAAATGTTACAAATTGGTTAGCTTGGAAGATGTCACGCGTGTGAGCACAGTCAGTGACAAATCAGGCTAGGAGATCTAATCGAAGACACCCTTTTTCTATGCACAATTCACAAATATCTATCAAGCTTATGGTCGGTACGGTAGCACTTTTTATGAACAGGCTTTATAATTTCAAAACAGCACTAGAAGTCTAGTGCAAGCATCTTGCTCTTGCACAGGTTCTTCTAATCCAAAATATCCATCGTGCATGGAGGGAGTGGACGAGACAATGGTGCAGGAGTCCAAAGGCTCAATGCAGGAGCGCATGCATAGAAAGCAAGACCATAAGAAACAGCGACTACTTGGAATAAAATGATTGGGAAGAGTGGGGGGTATGAGAGGAGTGGGGTCTATGACATAATTGGGGTGTGTAAACGGAGTTGGGGACATGAGAGGAATTGGGGGTAAGGGAGGAGTGGGGAGATGGGTGGAGAGGGGGGTATGAGAGGCATGGATGGTAATAGAATCGTGGTGGTTATGAGGTGAGTGGGGTGTATGAGAGGAATGGGGGGCATAGAGGTATGGTGGGTATGAGAGGAGTGAGGGGTATGAGAGGAACCAGGTTTATCAGAGGAGTGGAGGTTTGAAAGGAGTGAAGGTTATGAAAAGAGGGGATGTGTGAGGAGTGGGGGATTCAAGAGGAGGCTGGTATGAGAGGAGTGGGGGGTATAAGAGGAGTGAGGAGTAACAGAGGGGGTATGGTAGGAGTTTAGGGGCATGAGAGGAATATAGAGGCATGACAGAAGTGGGGTTTACGAAAGGAGGGAGTTTATGAGAGGAGTGAGGAGTATAATACCGTCATTGCCCGGTAAGTAGACAGTGTTGAATAATAGACAGGGGTTGTCTATTATCCGGGTGTCTCTTATAGACAAGCTCGCCTCATTATAAGACACCTATTTGTGTGTACGCGTTAAGCCAGTGTAGAGGTTAGGGGCAATCTTATAGCGAGGGGGTATCTTCTAAACAGTTCTTTTTCCATTTATAAGAGTTATAAGACACCCTAAATCGTCCCAAATACAAGACAACCCCAGCAATTTTGCCCGTGTACGAGATAAGACTAGGGATGAGCAAAATCCTGAACGCCTGTTCGGTTCGCCTCGAACATGTTCGAGGCGAACCGAACAGGCATTTTTTTTTGCCTAAATGGTTCGGGCCGAACATGTTCGGTGTTCGGCCGAACATGTTCGACGTTCGCCCCAGGATTTCGGCTCTCCAAGCCGAACACGAACATGTTCGTGTTCGACTTGGGGGCCACGCGAACACCAAAAATGTTCGCGTCAAAATTGGCCGCGACCAGATTTAGGTCGCGGCCAATTTGTGTTTGAGCTCATTTCGTGAGCTCAAACTCAGAAGTCGTTTTCGCCTTAGCGCTCCCTCACACAGCCGCCCTAGCCTCCTTGTTCTAGGTGCAAGCAAGTGCACGCTGCACACTTGCAATGTAAGCGGACATTAGATAGATAGATCTATGCATAGGGTTTAACGTAGTGTAGGGAGTTTAGGGTTACTATGTAAGGTTCAGCGAGCATCTCGTAAAGGGCTCAAGTAGGGCGTATCCTACGCCGTAGGATTCGGATCAGGCATTAGGAACGTGCGGCACCATCCAACGCTACCGTTGCAGGAAGGGTGTTTTCGGGTTTAGGGTCGAGGGCGGAGTTATGGCTTCCAGGGCTGGTGGATCCATAGGCCGAGGTGCAGGCAGGGCTCAGGGCAGCGCACCGGGATCTCCACCACGACCTATGCAGGGGCGAGTAGGGGATGGACCGGGAGGAGCCGGCGCGATCTTCGTTGGAGGACTGCTTACCGTACCGGCGCCGACCTCTCGTCGCTCTTTCCGTTACGACGGCCCTCGACCCCCTCCTTCGGGGCAGACGCCGACGCAGCCGGAGAGCGGCAGTGAGGAGGAGGATGAGGAGGAGGATGGTGAGGGCGAGAAGGAGGAGGACACTGAGGGGAGCGAGGATGACAGCGAGGCGGCGTGGGACCCAGAGACGCATGGCGGTGGGGAGGGGGGAGATGATGATGAAGACCACGAGATGGAAGGTTTGGAGCCAGAGGGGTGGGAGGAAGAGGTGGGAGAGGGTGGTGGAAGGGCGGCGACAGAGGCGGGATCACAGCATGTGCGTGAAGGGGGAGGGAGCGTGGGGGTTAAGGTGGGGGGGAGAAAGGCCGTGACCATTAGGGAGCCGAGGCAGAGGAAGAAGGCCAACAAGTTGAGGGAGCGGGCATATCCCTGCACGTTCACTGGGGAGCCCTTGGGCGAGGGTGTGATCACTCCCGAATTCCTAGACGAGGACGGAGGGTCCGAGAGTAGTAAGGGGAATGGCAAGGGTAATAGGAAGCCGGGGTGGCAAGTAATGATGTTCGGACCGTTAGGGGCAGACGATAAGCGTCAGTGCAAGATTTGCACATACAGGATTTCGTGGAAGCAATCCACAACAACCCCCGGCGAGCGGCACTTTGCGAGCTTCCACACTGCGCACATGCATGTGTGGCATCACCGTTACCACACCCCGTCCGTTCACTCACCAGGGAAGACGTGTCCACGTGGGGGCTACAAGGGAGTGCCGGATGGCTACGTCTATCAGTGGCCACATGCCAAGACTTGGCCGCAGCTCGCCAAGGGGAAAGGGATGGCGACTGGTGGAGGTCATGGTTCAGGCGGGATGGAGCGGTGGATGACAACCAAACTGACCTCGGTGCAGCTACGGCAGGCGATCACGAAGCTGGTGGTCACCTGCGACCTCCGCTTCCGCATCGTCGAGGCCGAGGGTGTAAGTGCCCCATCCCATCCCATGCATGATTGGGCAAGTATGTGGTTAGTGGACGGGTCTGTCCCTTTGTGTTTTGACTGTTTGCGTGTGGCCCAGTGCAGTGCTATATTATTTTCATCCCATCCCCCTGACGTTTACTCCTCTCTCCCCCCTTGTCTCTACCCCTCTCCAGTTTCGTGAGCTACTCATCCTGCTAAACCGCAACTGCGCGCAGAAGAACTTCATCCCCTCGCGCTGGACGGTTTCCCGCGATACAGTGGTCTATGCGGCTGCCGCTCTTCAGTCAGCCATTGCGGAGATGCTCGCGAAGGAGGGGGAGCTGGGGTGCAAGGTGTCGTTCACCATCGACATGTGGACGTCGCCCAACAACAGGGCGTAGCTAGTGGTAACGGGTCACTGGATCGACGAGAATTACCAGCTGCGCACAATGGTGTTTGAATTCCGCGAGATTCACGGGCGTCACACGGGCAAGCAGATGGCGAGGGTGGTTGAGGAGACTGTGGTGCAGTGGGGGTTGGAGACGTGTTGTTTTGGGTTCACCTCAGACAACGCCTCCAGCAACACTGCCGCTTTCAGGTGGATGTCGGAGGAGGGTGGTGGCCAGTGCTTCTTAAACTCGCACATGCACTTCCGGTACGAAAGGGAGTGTGCGTGGGATGTGCGATGAGGGAGTCTGGGTGCGTCGTTCCTGTGATGTGAACATGTTGTGGTTGTAGTACAGGCGGGTGGGCCTATGCGGCTTGAGAGTGGTAGTGTTTCTCGGATCTATGCCAATGTGTACTCACACTTCCCTTTCTCTCCGCCATGAATGTTTTGTGATGTGCGCAGATGCCTGGCACACGTGATCAACCTTGCAGTGAAGGCAGCACTCGCTGTGACCGCCATCCGCAAGTTGCTGAAGATTACGAGAGAGATGGCGTCGTGGATAGGCTTCTCGCCGCAGCGCTCAGGGAAGTTCTTGGGCCTTCAGCGGACCCTGAACGCGCAGGGCAACCCCGCCAAACCGAAGCCGGAATTGAAGCTGGTGCAGGACAGTCCCACACACTGGGGGTCGACCCACGACATGGTAGAGCGAGCCGGGGTTCTACACGAACCCATCTCTGTCTTCTTTGCCCAGACACAAATGTGTGTGTGTGCCACGTGTTGTGTATGCGGTTTTATGTGTTGGTATGTCGGTCGGGGTGTTTTGTTCTGGGACTTGCACCACTGTTGGCCATGCTTGACTAAACTTTTTGGACCTCCAACAACCTCAACCACCCCACTTTCCACCCTAACACCCGCCCACCCATACGTTCTACCCGACAGGGCGTGTCGAAGGCTGACAAGGCGAAGATGGACACCTTGCGCTTGACGGACGTAGACTGGGAGACTCTGCATTCTGTCAAGACCTTCCTCAGCCCATTCGCCAAAGTCTCCAAGGCCGCGGAGGGAGCGGCGTACCCTACAGTGGCGATGGTCCTGCTGTACTACAACGGCCTGATCGACGCTATGGAGTCGCGCCTTGCCAAAGGGCCATCGGCTACACTGAAGCCGATGATTGAGGCGGCGCTGGGTCTCTTGAAGAAGTATGAACTAATGTCAAGCAACGAGTTGTGGATCGCCACCTTCCTGGACCCTTCCATGAAGGCGGCGTGGTTCAACGATGCGCACTGGGAGACGCTGCATCCCGATACCGACCGGAGGGCGAGGCCTCGTCCCTCTTCAGGCGAGGTGATCCAGCTGGTTCGCGAACGTGTGGCCGAGTACCAGGCCCGGGCTGCAGCGATTGCCCCTCGGCCGACCCCACTTGCCCCAGTGACGGAGGAGGAGGAGGGAGACGCGGCGGATGACGACGAAGACGCTGAGTTTCTCCCTAGTCGCCGACGCCTTGCGGCGTGTCTATCGGCGAGCCAGGAGGGGGGGAGGGGTGGGATGGTGCAGGATGACGAGGTTCGCAGGTACTTATCTGAGAGGGTGCGGTGCGACGTGTCAGCGTTGGAGTATTGGCACAGCGCCACCAACATGCAGACGTTGAGGCGCATGGCCCGGGATTATCTTGCCATCCCTGCCACGTCCGCGTCGAGCGAGCGCGTGTTCTCCCTCGGCCGCAACCTCATATCCTGGAAGCGGCACCGCCTAGCCTCTGAGAGGACGCGAGCTTCCATGATTCTCAGATCATGGTACACCTCACACCCTGGACAGAGGATAGGCGAGGGCCGCCGTGCAAAAGGCGAGGCACCACCAGAGTTCGCCATTGAAGGCGAGGGGGAGGAGGAGGACGACGAGTGGGAGGAGGAGGAGGGGGAGGAGGAGCAGATGGGGGTGGGTGCTGACGACACCTCTGACGCGGAGCATGCTGTTGTTGGTAGTAGCAGTGGTGTGCAGGCGTAGGATTTAATTTGACAGTGACTCTTATATAGGCAAAACATGATGGTGTCGTATGCTAGTGTGCGTTGCATGAACACATATACACCCTCCACCCCCTATCTATCTACCCAACCCTCCAGATTCCGTGTTTGACCAATGTGACTATAATGAAAGTGCCCACGGGCGAACTCGAACATGTTCGAGTTCGCCCACACATACCAAATGTTCGCCCCCAAGGGCGAACGACGCACACCTCTTGAACCCTAAATTGTGATGAGGGTGACTGTTACCGGTGTTTCCCGCCCGACCCGGGCATTGGTACGGCTGCGCTAGGTGCTGGTGAGGCTGCGCTCTCAGGTACTAGTGAGGCTGCGCTCTCAGGTACTGGTGAGGCTGCGCTCTGAGGTACCGCGTCGGATTCGACCTCTCTCACCTTTACACTTGACTCTGGGGCTTCTCGCTCCTTCTTTCGGGATCGCACCACACTCACGCCGCTTGGCCGGCCGGTTGCGGTCTCCATGGCTGACCCCTCTGGGGGTCCTGTCCTCTCTCACTTCTCCACTGTTCTACCGTGTCCAGCTGCCCCCTCGGGCGCCCTGTCAGGCCTGTACCTCCCCTCGTTCTCGACGAACTTGGTGAGTGGTGCTGCCCTATAGGATGCGGGGGTTAACCAGTTTACTCCTGCGAGTCAGCGGGTGACCCACTGCTCGGACGCGCGCACAGGTCGGCACCTGGCCACGTTCTCCCGTCGGCCGGGGTCGAGCCTCTACACCCTGACCACTGAGTCTCCTCCTGTCCCTGTGTCTGGCCAGGTAGCTGCATCGGGTCAGGTGTTTGCTGCTGCGTCCAGGTCTGGTCCTGAGTCTGCCCCCTGCTCGTGTCGCCTCCTGTCTCACGAGACTCTCCTGTGGCACCACCGTCTTGGCCACCCCTCCTTGCCACGTCTCAGGGACATGGCTTCCCGTGTCCTTGTCTCTGGTCTTCCCCGGTCTCTCCCTCCCCTTCCTTCGGGGCCAGGACCTTCCTGTGTCCCTTGTGTCGAGGGGCGCCTCCGGGCTGCCCCCCACTCCTCCCAGTTTCCTCCGACAGAGGCTCCTTTGCAGACGCTTCACATGGACGTGTGGGGCCCGGCCTGCGTCCGTGGACAGGGTCACGAGCGCTACTTTCTGCTGGTGGTTGACGACTACTCGCGTTTCACCACAGTCTTCCCCTTGCGCAGCAAGGGTGATGTCACTGAGGTGTTGATCGACTGGATCCGCGCAGCTCGTCTCCAGCTCAGGAGGAGCTTCGGCTCGGACTTTCCTGTTCTACGTCTGCACTCTGACCGAGGCGGAGAGTTTTCCTCTGGCCTTCTCCGAGCCTACTGTCGAGCACAGGGCATCCGCCAGACCTTGACGCTTCCGGACTCTCCACAGCAAAATGGGATTGCTGAGCGCCGCATTGGCATGGTCATGGACGTCGCCCGCACGTCCATGATGCATGCGGCTGCCCCCCATTTTCTGTGGCCGTTTGCGGTGAGGTACGCGGCGCATCAGATCAACCTTCACCCCGGGGTTTCCCGGCCGGGGAAGGTCCGTACCTCCCCGGCCCTCCTGTGGACTGGGAAGGTCGGCTATGCGTCTGCGTTCCGTGTCTGGGGATCTCGAGCGTTTGTCCGCGACTTGTCTACGGACAAGCTGTCCCCCCGTGCTTCTCCCTGTGTCTTCCTTGGCTTCCCCCCTGACACTCCAGGGTGGCAGTTCTACCACCCCTCCTCTCGTCGTGTTCTGTCCTCCCAGGACGTCACGTTCGACGAGTCCGTCCCCTTCTACCGCCTCTTCCCTTACCGCACTACTTCCCTCCCCCCGCCACCGGACTTCCTTGTGCCAGGTCCCCCCCTGGTAGACCCCCTCCCCCCTCAGGTTCCTGCCCCTTCAGGTGTGTCCCAGGTAGACGCAGTCGAGCCGGTCGAGGTTGCTAGTGACTCTGGTCCTGCTGCGGATGCTGAGCCTGGGGGTGCTGACTCTGGGGGTGCTGTGCGCGTGGGTGCTGCGTCTGGAGCTGCTGAGCGTGGGGGTGCTAGGTCTGGGGGTGCTGCGTCTGGAGCTGCTGAGCCTGGGGGTGCTGAGTCTGGGGGTGCTATGCCGGGAGCTGCTGCGCCTTGGGGTGCTGCGTCTGGAGCTGCTGAGCCTGGCTGTGCGGAGCCTGCGGTTGCTGGACCTCCCCTTGTGGCGTCTGGCGGTGCTGGGCCTAGAGGTTCTCCGGGTGCTCCGTCTCGGCGGGAGCCGCTCTCTCCACAGGAGCTGCGCGAGTGGTTTGCTCGACGCTGGGGGCGTACTACTGGTGCTGGTGCTTCTTCGGCCGCTGAGGGTACTTGTGCTGCCGGTCCCGGAGCTGCTGGGCCTGCGGGTCCTCCTGGAGCTGGAGCTGCTGAGGGTGTTGGTGCTGAGACTGCTTCTGTCTGTCCTGGCGGTGGTCCTGCCGGTGGTGGTGCTGTTGGCGCTGGTGCTGCTGCTGAGGGTTCTGGTGCTGTCCCTGCTGTGTCTGGAGTCCCCGCGCGGCCTCGGTCCTACTTTGTTCCGCTCCTGCAGCAGGTTCTTGGTCTTCCTCCTTCTGTAGAGTGTCCGCCGTCTGTCCAGTCGCCGTCACTGTTAGAGCCGGCCTCCCCACTGCCTGCTCCCTCTCCTTACACTGGTCCTACTGGAGGTCTCGCTGAGCGTCGTGAGCCTGCATCTCGTCCCGCGTCGCCTGTTCGTGCTGCTCGCACTAGTGGTCGCAGTTCGCGTCAGCGTCCTCCTCCTGTCCCTGGCACGCACCGGATGTCTCTGCATCCGTCCACTGCTCCTCTACGTGCCCCTTTGCCTTCTCCTCCTCAGTCTTCTCTTCCTGCGCTTTCCGACCCGGAGTCGGACTCTCTTCGTGCTGCCAGTCCTAATGTCACGCGTCTTCTTGCTACTGTCGTCACTGACCCCTCTTTCGAGTCCACTGCTGCGTCTGCTCTTGTCGCTGAGCTCGTCGACTTTGCTGCTCGCTGTCGTCTAGACTACGCTGCTA